GACTGGTAGGGAAAAAAAACCAAAGTGGCTGGCAAGGAAAAAGCCTTCTCTCTACATGGTTTCAGCTCAGAATTCTACCAGATGTTTAAAAAAGAGCTAATAACCAATACTCCTCAAATTGTTCCATGCAACAGAAACAGAAGGAACATTGCCAAACTCCTTTTAGGAGGCTACAGTTACCCTGATACTCAAACCACACAAAAACACAACTAAGATAGAGAATTACAAACCGATCTCCCTCATGAACATTGATGCAAAATACACAATAAAATACTAGCAAACTGAATCTAAGAACACATCAGAAAAATCATCCACCATGACCAAGTAGGTTTCATCCCGGAGATGCAGGAATGTTTCAACATCCAAAAATCCGTCAATGTAATCCACCATATAAACAAACTGAAAGAAAAAAATCCACGTGGTTATCTCATTAGATTCTGAAAAGCCTTTGACAAAATCCAACATGCTTTCAAGGTCTTAAAGAGATCAGGGATACAAGGACCATACCTAAACATAATCAAGGCAATATACAGCAAGCCAATAGGGAACATCAAACTAAATGGAGAGAAACTCAAAGTGATCCCACTGAAATCAGGAACAAGGCAAGGCTGACCACTCTCTCCCATATCTATTCAATATAGTACTTGACGTTCTACCTAGAGCAATAAGACAACAAAAAGAGATCAAAGGAATACAAATTGGAAAAGAAGAAGTCAAACTTTCACTCTTTGCTGATGATATGATAGTATATATAAGTGACCCCAAAAATTCTACCAGGGAACTCCTACAACTGATAAACATCTTCAGTAAAGTGGCAGGATACAAGATTAACTAAAAAGAAAAATCAGTAGCCCTCCTATACACAAATGATAAACAGGCTAAAAAAGAAATCAGAGAAACAATAACCTTTACAATAACTACAAATAACATAAAATATCTTGGGGTAACTCTAACCAAACAAGTGAAAGACCTTTATGACAAGAACTTTAAGTCTTTGAAGAAGATACTAGAAAATGGAAAGATTTCTAATGCTATTGGATAGGTAGCATTAACATAGTAAAAATGGCAATCTTACCAAAAGCAATCTACAGATTCAATGCAATACCCAGAAAAATTCCAGCAAAATTTTTCACAGACCTCAAAAGGATTATACTCAACTTCATATAGAAAAACAAAAAACCCAGGACAGCCAAAATAATCCTGTACAACAAAGGAACTTCTGGAGGCATCACTATATCTGACATCAAGCTCTACTATAGAGCTACAGTAATGAAGACAGCTTGGTATTGGCATAAAAAAAACTGATGGACCAATGGAATTGAATCGAAGACCCTGATATTAACCCACACACCTATGAACACCTGATATTTGACAAAGAAGCCAAAATTATACAATGGACAAAAGAAAGCATCTTCAACAAATGGTGCTGGCATAACTGGGTGTCGACATGTAGAAGAATGCAAATAGATCTATATTTATTACCTTACACAAAACTTAAGTCCAAATGGATCAAAGACCTCAACATAGACCTCAACATAAAACCAACCACAATGAACCTCACAGGAGAGAAAATGGGAAGTAGCCCTGAACGAATTGGCACAGGAGACCACTTCCTAAATGTAATACTAGTAGCACAGACACTGAGAGCAACAATTAATAAATGGGACCTCCTGAAACTAAGAAGCTTCTGTAAAGCAAAGGACACAGTCAACAAGACAAAAACAGCAGCCTACAGAATGGAAAAGCATCCACCAACCCCATATCTGACAGAGGGCTGATCTCCAAAACATACAAAGAAACTAGACATCAAAAGATCAAATAATCCAATAAAAATGGGGTACAGACCTAAACAGAGAACTCTCATCAGAGGAATCGCAAATGGCTGAAAGACAGTTAAGGAAATGTTCAACATCCTTAGTCATCAGAGAAACACAAATCAAAACAACTCTGAGAGACCATCTTATACCTGTCAGAATGGCTAAGATCAAAAACCCTGATGTCAGTTTATGCTGGAGAGGATGTGGAATAAGGGGAACACTCCTCCATTGCTGTGGGAGTGCAAACTTGTACAGCCACTTTGGAAATCAGCATGGCAGTTTCTCAGAAAATTAGGAATCAGCCTTCCTTAAGACCCAGCAATACTAGTTTTGGGCATATACCTAAAGGATGCACACTCACACCACAAGGATATTTGTTCAACTATGTTCACAGCAGCATTATTCACCATAGCCAGAATGTGAAAACAACCTAGCTGTCCATCAACTGAAGAATGGATAAGGAAAATGTCAGCAGTTAAAACAATGACATCTTGAAATTTGCAGGCAAACTTACAGAACTAGAAAAAGCCATCCTGAGTGAGGTAACCCAGACCCAAAAAGACAAATGTAATATGTACTCATTCATAAGTGGATATTAGACATAAAACAAAGGACAAACAGCCTACAGGCCACAACTCCAGAGAACCTAGGTAACAAAGAGGACCCTAAGAGAGATATACACAGATCCACCTAGGAAGGAGAAAAAGACAAGATCTCCTGAGTAAATCGTGAGCATGGAGGGTGGGGGGGAGTGGAAGGGAAGAGGGAAGGAGGAAAGAGGAGTGGGGGAAAATGTATAACTCAATTTAACAAATGGCAAATAAAAAGTCTTACAAATGGGGGAGATTAAAAAAAAGAGTAAGTTCAGCTGTGTATGGCGGCGGAGGGACAGGTAGGTCTCTGTGTGTTTGAGGCTAGCCTGGTCCAGCCTAGTCTACATAGTGAGTTCAAAGACAGCCAAAGCTACATAGTGAGAACTTGTCCCCCAAAAAACAAACAAACAAAGAAGTTGTGGGTTCCTTATCAGAAACACAAGTTTTAGTATTTGGTAGGAAAGACTCATATTTAATGCTTCTTACAACATTAACTTGTGGAAGAGGAAAACTTGCATCACCAAATGTGGTGAAATTTTTTTTCATAAAATTTAATACCTACACATCATAAAAATATTTGTCAACTTGTCCACTGTTACTATTCTCATTCAGTGTAGTGTTAGACATCCTCACCTATGCAATAAGACAGGAAAGGAAATAAAAGTCGTAAGATGAAACAGGAGAAGAAATGAGGCCTTGTGAATAAAACACAGTAAGCCTGGCTAAGCCTCAGTTTCTCCTATAACACACTCAAAATGCAGGCATTGTGAACTCCAAAGTTTTCACATGTACCATCAGCTCAGCAGCAGACACTGGCTGACTGTCCTCTAATCCAGCTCAAGTCTGATGCTATCTGTCTGGAGATAGCATCAAATCCCACAGGCTGAAGTCTCAGTCCCCAAAGTTGCCTTCCCACACATGCATAGTTCAGATGCCAGTCACAAGCCTGGGGCTGATTACCTCTGCTTTGATGGCTGGCTGAGAGTGGGCTTTTGACAGTCTGCTCTGAAGTCAATCCATTTGGTTGAATAACTGACAAAACTCAAGAGAAACGCTTACTGTCAATTACTGGTTTTGTTTTCTTTTTTGAGTTGTTGATTTGGTTTGGTTTGGTTTGGAGGGTTTTGACATAGGATTTCAAGTAGCCCAGGCTAGCCTCAAACACCCTCTGTAACCAAGATGATGATCTTGGACTCTGGATCCTCCAACACCCATTTCCTGAGTGCTGGGATCACGGGCATGGGCCTCCACATCTGGTCCTCTTCTTAGTTCACAAAAAGGATATTATAAAGGACACAAGTGGAGAGGCTGGGGGAGAGAGGTGGCACTTCCTTGTCTCTCAACATCTTCACCTTCCGGGTCCTGCCAGGGTTAGCTATCTGGAAACTGTCTGAACCTTACCCTTTTAGATTTCTCCAGAACTGTGGCGCTAACAGACTGGGTGGGGAAACCCAGCAAGGCCTGTCTGTCCAGATTCTTCTTGCCTTCTTTATGCAACGCTTCTTCCTCCCAAGCAAGGATGAGGACTCCTGACAAGGACTTACGTAACTTCTAGAAGTTCTCACTGTGTCTACGGAGGGAAAGAGCTCAGAGACTTTGGTTTCTGGGCCCTGATTCTGATCCCCACACCAGCTCAACACCCTTCTAGTTCTTTAGGAAGTAAGAACCGCTGTGGGAACCTTGAGCTGACAAGTGGATGAAACCAAAACACCCATCATAGCACCACACCCTGTTCGTCAGTGACACGATTGTCTGCATACGAATTCCATGGAATCTGAGTAAAAAACAAATAAGCAAATCTGAAAACCCCAAGGACTAGTTGAATTTGGCAAGGTCATAGGACATAAGGTTATCACTTCCTAGACAATTGTAAACCAGATCTGGTGACTCAATCCTGTAAACCCAGTCACTAGGGACAGTCAGTCAAAAGGATTGCAAGTTCAGGGCCAGGCTGCACAGCTTAATAAGATCCTGAAATCTTGTCCCCAGATGTCAAAACACAAAAACAAACAAACAAACAAAAATGCTGAGAATACAGGGCTTACCCAGCATGTATGAAGCCCTGGGTTTAATTTCCAGCACTGAAAAAAAATTATATTTCTCTCAGGCCCAGTGGGACATGAATTAAATCCCAATAGATAGCTCTCTGTGAGTTTCAGGCCAGCCAAGGCTACAAGTGAGACCTTATCTCAAAAGGAAAATAAAATGTATTTCTATACATTATCAATAAACACAAGGACACTATAGATTGTCTAAATATTATTTTTATTTTATGTGTATGAGTGTTTTGCCATTTTGCTTACATATATTCATGGTGCCCTTGGAGCCTAGAAGAGGGCATTGGGTGTAGTTATGGATTCTTGTGAGCCACCAGTGGGTGCTGGGAACAGAACACAGGTCCTCTGCAAGAGCAGCAAATACAGTATTCTTTTTTTTTAAAGATTTGTTTATTGATTATGTATACAGTGTTCTGTCTGCATGCCAGAAGAGGGAAACGGATCTCATTACAGATGGTTGTAAGCCACCACGTGGTGGCTGGGAATTGAACTCAGGACCTCTGGAAGAACAGCCAGTGCTCTTAACCTCTGAGCCATCTCTCCAGCCCGGCAAATACAGTATTCTTTTTTCCTTTCTTCTTTCTTTTTCGTTTGGTTTTTCTTTATTTTGTTGTTGTTTTGTTTTGTTTTGACAGGCTTTCTCATTGTAGTTCTGCTTTCCTGGTTGGCCTCAAACTCAGACACCTGCTTGCCTCTGCTGGGATTAAACATATATACCACTACCACCTAGCCCACAACAAGCACTCTAAGCACGGAGCCAGCTCTTCAGTCCCAGGACACTGAAATTAAAAATATAATACCACTTCAAATTACTTGAAAAATGAAATACCTAGACATAAATCATTTGCTGTTTTTTATGTAATTTATTTTTATTTTATGTACATTGGTGTTTTGCCTGCACGTATGTTTGTATGTGTGTGCTGGATCCCTTGGAACAGGAGATAGAGACAGTTTGAGCTGCCATGTGGGTGCTGGGAATTGAACCTGGATCCTCTGGAAGAGCAGCCAGTGCTCTTAACCTCTGAGTCATCACTCCAGCCCCAGCATAAATCGTTTTAAAGGATTTATCCTGTGTGTGTGTGTGTGTGTGTGTGTGTGTGTGTGTGTGTGTGTGTGTGTGTGTGTGTGTGTGTGTGGTGTGGTGGGGGAAGAGAGGGGAGAGGGAGAGAGAGAGAGAAGGAGGGAGAGGAGAAAGGGAGGGGAGGGGAAGGGAGAGAGAGGTAGGGAGAGAGGGAGGGAGCATCAGTGAAGTTCAGAGGACAACTTTCAGGAGTCAGTTTTCTCCTTCCAAGGAATCAGGTTTTGTGGCAGTCACGCTACCCACTGAGCCATCTCTCCAGCCCTGACCTCCGTCTCCCTCTGTAGCCAAGGACAAACACAAACTCCTCCTCCTCTTGTTTCAGCCTTCTGAGTGCTGGGATGGCAAGTGTGTGCTGCCCGGTTTATGCGCATACAGACTGTAGATGTCGTGACCTATGAAGAGCCACGGCAGGGAGGATTGCTTTGTTGATACATCAGCTAGGTGGATTTCCAGAAAACCACGCTGCACGCATGAAAAACCACATGTCCCAAAGGTTCCATATGGCATTCGTGTCTATACATATAATTGCTGAAATGACAAAACTACGGACATGGAGATTAGCTGCTGGAGGCCGGAGAGAATGGGGCAGGAGGGTGTGGACACAACCATCAAAGTGGGACACAGGGGCTTGTGATGAAACTGTCCCAGGCACCAAAGTCACTGTGAGGAAGTAGTTTTGTGGACTGGGAGGAACGGGGTACAGGAAACAAGGAGCCTCTCAGTTACTACCCACAACTGCATGTCAATCTACCATTATCCCAAAGTAAAAAGTCCAATTTAAAAGTCTTTCGCGTGCACAACAGGCAGTAATGTGTAATTTGGTCCCGCAGACTGTCCCTTCGCTGGGAGTCTGTCTAGCAATAAATCAGCATCTGTCCTTTTTTTTTTTTAATTACAAAGTGCAGGGCCACCCCAGAGAGGCAGAGAGGAAGCCATTCAGAAGCAGTGCACGGTGCTGTGTTTTCCAAGCTTTCAGGCTTGGGAGCCACACTGGGGAACAAGCTTTGGGCTGTGCTCTTTCGGGCTCAGTCCTGCTTGTCTGCTTATCTAGCCCACAGGCACCACAGCATCCTCTGTGCTGTTCATAAGGCCCCTGTGCCTGGCCAAGCTCACCTCCCTTCCCCAGCCCCCACACCCAGCACCCCGCCACGCTCCCCCACAGAGGCTCCTTGTCCTCTGCAGGGGCTACTAAGTAAGGCCACCTGCTGTCACCGCCCTGCCTCTAACAAGGACATCTTCCCTCCATCCTCTTGTTGTTGTTGCCAAAGACAGGCTTGCAATAGGGTTCCAAGCGTTGCCACACACCTAGGGCGGGGGCTGCCCACCCCACCCCCACCCCCGGCATGCCTATAAGAACCCATCCCATCGGGGAAGCGTGTGTATTGCGTATGAGGCTGGATACACTGATGGAAAGCGGCACCTGTCTTTCCTGCTTAGACTCAGCCTTGGCAGCTGTTCCTAGAACCGGGTGGATGGGGTGTGCTTGGAGAGGGCACCACAGCAGGGCAGGGGCACGCTGCAGCCTCGGAGCCTTGCTCTTCTGTTTGTGGTCACAACCAATGAGTGTGGAAACAGCCTCTAAATGGTACCAGTGGCTAGAGTTGCTTCATGGCTGAGGGCTCCGGTGCTTCACTTGACGGGCATTCTTGCCTTTCCTGCTTGCTTCTCCTCCTCCCTCCCTCCCTTCCTTCCTCCTTTTGGGGTTCACTGGTACCCCAAAGTCTCTTTGATCAGACCCTAAGATCTAGTCAATATGTCTGCAGCCTTCTGGGTGACAGACATGTTTATAGCAGGAGAGACCCTGGAGGACCCCATGCAGGTGAGGGACAAGCATGCCCGGCAGACAGAGCTTGAGTGGGAAGTTTTATTGTGGGAAAGCGAAGGGAATGGAGACAGGGAAGGGAGAGGAGGAGAGAGAGGGAAAGAGGGGGGGGGAATCCTGTCTGCCCCTTCAGAGGAACAACAGGGAAAGAGAGCAGGAGTGGGCTGAGTTTGCCTCTTTAAAGGGACCTTTGCCTGAGTGCCTCCTACCAGGTGACAGGGGGCAGGCCAGCATAATGCCTGAATCCTAACAGACACGGTCACCCCTGCCTCCCTAGCCTCCCTGGGGATCTGCTATACCCTGTGGATCTCCTCCTTAAGTCACAGAGGCAAACACACCCCTTCAAAACTGCCTGGGGTGTTTCTCCACAAATGTGACACATGGACCTGGTGGTCACAAATGTCTGTGATCCCAAAACTCAGGGTAACAAAAAAATGAGGCTAGTTTGGATTACATAGAGAACCCCCATCCCAAACAACTACAGACGAGCTGGAGAAATGGCTCAGTGGCTAAGAGCATATACTGCTCTTGCAAAAGGCCAGAAATCCATCCCTAGCACCTCCTCTGGCCTCCGAGGGCACCAATACAAATATGGTGCACATAGAGGCAAGGAGGCACACACACACACACACAAATAAATTTTAAAAATTGCACAGGACGCATTAGCCCCCAAGATAGAACCACTGGAGGACATCGCTTACAGCATGGCACAGGGAAGCACTCTGGCAGGCTGATCTAAATCCTGGCTGATCTGTTTCTAGGCGCTGAGGTGAAGCCCAGGACCTCACACACGCTAAGCACATGCTCTACCACTCCCCTGCACTGCAAGCATGCTAAGCACTGCAAACCTCCCCTGTGGTTTTTCTGACCTGTATGATCCCCCACCCCCATGCTGTGGATGTTTTCGGTCTGTATGCAAAGGGTTGAGTGTCTGAAGGTGTCAGAAGCACCTTGTCTGCTCCCCACAGGCCCAGAGAGTTTTGGTGCCATGGAGGGCATCTAGCACATTCTCCAAGGCAAGCCAGCTCACTGCGGTTCTTTCCTGGGGCTCTGTGTCGACCTGCACCACGCACTCACTGCTGTGCTGAGATCCTTGACAGGCAGAAGTGCTTATCAGCAGCCATGACCCCAGGTCCTGGAGCAGCACCTCAAGTATGAGGTTCAGGGTGCTTGTGTTGTGCTGTGTTTATGTGTATGTGCTGGGTGGATGTGGCTGAGGCCAGAAAAGGAAGTAGATCCCCTGGAGCTGGAGTTCCAGCCCACTGTGAGCCACCTGATGTAGGTGCTGGAAACTGAACTGGGTCCTCTGGAAGAGCAGCAAAAACCCTTAGCTGTTGAACCATCTCTCCAGTCCCTCGTCAAGCCCATAGTGCAGACATGCCCTCTCCCCGCCCCGAGCTCCTAGACACACCCCACTGGAGGATGAAAGCTCAGTCTCCCCAAATACACTGTGTTTTCTTTTCTTTCTTTCTTTCTTTCTTTCTTTCTTTCTTTCTTTCTTTCTTTCTTTCTTTCTTTCTTTCTTTGACACAGGGTTTCTCTGTATTGTTTTGGAGGCTGTCCTGGAACTCCCGCTGTAGACCAGGCTGGCCTTGAACTCACAGAGATCCACCTGCCTCTGCCTCCCAAGTGCTGGGATTAAAGGCGTGCACCACCAATACCCGAAATACACTGTATTTTCTATATACACATTCCTGCAAAGAATTATCTAATAAGTTGGGCAGCAGATTAACAATAACGACCAAGACTTGGAACAGTTGTAAAAATATGCTGCAATAAATTATTAAAATATATGAATTATCTAATTCTGAAAATTTCCATTTATTATTTCAAACCACAGTTGATGGCCACTATCAAGAAGCCTTAGAAAATCAGAGGCGTTGGTGGCGCACACCTTTAATCCCAGCACTCGGGAGGCAGAGGCAGGCGGATCTCTGTGAATTCAAGGCCAGGCTGGACTGACAGCCTCCAAAACAGAGAAACCCTGTCTCGTAAAAACCAAAAAAAAAAAAAAAAAGAAAATCAGAGGCATGCTCTATGCAAATCTCACCAATCCTGCCAAAATGGGTGCTTCCCCGGCCCACGACCACAGTCCTCTTCTGTCCCCAGGTGCCTTGAGCTCCTCCTGTCTCCTCTTGGGCACAGAGGCCATCTGTCCTGCACATACCTCTCACATGACACATGCCCATTTATCCCCATGTGGCACAACATGGTTGCTTGTTAAGACACACACTAAGTCCCTCTCAGGGCTCACGACACTCCTGGGGCTCAAGCATACCTGTCAGGTGTCTCCACCTGAAGCTGAGTCAACATCACGTCCACACCTGTCACCCAGAGACTTCCTGGCACTTGGTTCTCGCCCGATGGGTTATGACTACAGAGGTTGTAAGGCAAAGGTTTCCCAGCCCCTCCTCCCACAGCCCCACAGCTGGCAATCTCCTTGTCTTGCTTTGTTGTTAAAGCACAGGCTTATAGGTTTAGTCCGGAGCCACGGGCTGTCAGTATCAGGCTCCTCATGCAGCAGGTGGCTCTTATGTCCTTGCCCTTGTCGGACCTCAGCATTTCTTTGCTTCCTGGAGCTACTGGAATGCTCAGGGCTATGCCTGTGCTTTTCAGTTCTGAGGCTCCAGACTAGGGAAAAGTACTTTTATATTCTCTCTATATATTACTTTATAATACTACATACAAATGAAATGCATTTAATAATGTATAATTATATATTAAATATCTAGCAGTAGCAGCATGTTAATAGAATATATAAGTATTAATTATATTTGCAATCCTCTAGAACTGGTATATCATTAAAGACATCACCGTTCAGCCTCTGCTACCCTCACAAGAGTCCCCATACTTACACCTGCTTCTTTTTCTCTCTTTCTTCCTTTCTCTCTCTCTTTCTTTCTTTCTTTCTTTTTTTGAGTCAGAGTCTCCCTTTGTAGCCCAGGCTGGCCTGAAACTCATTACCCTCCCACCTCAGTTTTCCCAAGTGAAGGGATACAGACGTGAGCCGCCTCACTGTCCACCTAAGTTTATCTAATGCCCTCCCTGAGTCATTTGCTTTTAGATAACGCATCTTTCCCCCAGTGATCTAAGATAACACGTTTGTTTGCCATATATCAAGTCTCCAGATAAGCTTGGACCATTTTCAAATTGTCTATTCTTCCATGAGAATGTGCCCTCAGATGCCCATCAACGGCCACAGAAGATGAAGAGGCAGCTAAGAGCACTGACTGCCCTCCCAGCACCCACACGTGGCTCCAACTCAGGGGATCTCATGCTCTCTTCCGGCCTCCGTGAACCCTGAATGAATATGGTGCACATACATGCAGGCAAAATGCCCATACACATTAAAAATTAATCTAAAAAAAGATGAAGTGACAGGTGGTCCAGCATGCCTTTAATCTCAGTAGTCAGGTGGCAGGAGCAGGAGCATCTCTGTTAGTTCAAGGCCAGCTTGGTCTACACAGCCAGCGTTACACAAGTGAAACCCTGGGTTTTGTTTGTTTGGCTGGTTGTTTTTGTTTGTTTGGTTTGGGTTGCTTTTTTGTTTTTTGTTTTTTGTTTTTTTGTTTTTTGTTTTTTTTTGGTTTTTTTGAGACAGGGTTTCTCTGGGTAGTCCTGGCAGTCCTGGAGCTTACTCTGTAAACCAGGTTGATCTTGAACTCAGAGATCTGCCTGCCTCTGCTTCCCAAGTGCTACAATTAAAGGTGTGTGCCACCACTGCCCAGCTTGAAACCCCGTATTAAAACAAAGAAAGAAAGAGGGAGGGGGAGAGATGAATCGAGGTTTGCAAAACCGTGCCTGCCCTGCCTCACCATCAAATGTGTTCTGCCATATCAGTATATAGAAGAGACCCTTGTGTGGGCCAGCAACACATTCTTGGATTTGTGTTATGTGAGCTTTCCTGAGGAAACATCTATGCACCTCAGATGGGACCCAGATGATAGGCCAAGAAATGATTCCACCCAAGTCTAGCATTGTGGACCAGTGAGACTGTTGAGATTATTTACAGACACACAGATGGGGTGACTTACAGGAGTGTGCATGGGTGACTTACAGGAGTGTGCATGGGTGACTTACAGGAGTGTGGATGGGTGACTTACAGGAGTGTGCATGGGTGACCTACAGGAGTGTGGATGGGTGAATGACTTATAAGAGCATGGGTGAAAAAAAGAAAAGAGGGTGTGGGAGACTCAGAAGCATCAAGGAAGAGCCCACCCCAGCTTGGGGACGGCACAAAATCTGCATGCCCCCGGCTCTCTGAGTGACTTCATTCAGGCAGCTCTGGGAAGAATACACCCCACCCCACCCCACCCCACACCCCATCACAGTCTTCTTTGCTCTGCACCAAGGAAAGGGGCTGTGTGCATCTTGAAACTAAGTCAAGCTTTGAGGTCTCATGAGCTTTCTGCGTCTTGTTTCATGCCTCGGCCTCTTAAGGCTGGTGAGTTTGTCTCTGGGAGAGGCTGTTCACTTCAGGGACCCCAGAGCCATGAGGTGATAAACCTTTTCTTTTCTTTCTTTTGTTTTTGTTTGTTTGTTGTTTTTAGAGACAGGGTTTCTCTGTGTAGCCCTGACTGTCTTATCCTGGAACTCAGTCTACAGACCAGGCTGGCCTCAAAGTCATAGGATCCACCTGCCTCTGCCTCCCAAGTGCTGAGATTAAAGGTGTGCACTACCACACCTGACAAAGTAAACCTTAACTGTTTATAAATTTTATATGAATTGCTTTGGTCATTTTGTTATAGTAGCAAATAATGGACTGAGACATAAATCAGTATCACTCCAGAGAAGCAGATGTGCACTAAATAGAATTTCTGTAATTTTTGAAAAAACCACATTGCATTTGCTCTACATTGTAACAAATTATGTAAAACAATTTATAATGAGAAAAGTTTCATCTCTCAGTTCACATATATTCACTTGTGTTTGTCTGGAAAGAAAATGCTGCAAGAGGGTTGGGTCCCAGGCTGAATTTGAAATCAGAAATGAAGTTGATGCTGAAGAGAATTCTTCCCTTTGCCTAATTGTAAACCATCTTTCTAGAACATTCCTTTGTAAGCCGGGCATTGGTGACACATGCCTTTAGTTCCAGTACTCAGGAGGCAGATGCAGGAGGGTATCTGTGAGTTCTAGAGCAGCCTGGTCTACAGAGTGAATCCCAGGACAGGTTCCAAAGTTACAGAGACACCCTGTCTCAGAAAATAAATAAATAAATAAAAAACCCTTTGTTCCCTGAGCCTCCAAAAGAGGTCACAGACAGAGAAGTCTCTCCTCAGGGCTGGCCTTGAATTAATTCTTTTCAGAGAGAGACAGACCGACAGACAGAAACAGATTATTTTGACTCATAGTTTCAAGAACTCCACAGGCCCTTGTGTACCTGAAGCAAGGCCACACCGTGGAAGGAAGCATGGTGAGGTTGAACAGCTCATTCTGTGGCCAAGGAGCAAAGAGAGGGAACGTGGCTACCGTGTGGCTCAGGTGGTGAGTAGAGTGTTTGCCGAGCATGCAGGAAGCCAGGGCTCATCCCCAGCACCCCACAACCAGGCATGGCGGCACATGCCTGTAGCCCTAACACTTGGGAGGCAGAGGCAGGAAGATCAGAAATTTAGGGTCTCCTCAGCCACACAGCCAGTTCAACCTTGTCTCAGACAAGACTGTTGGGCCCAGCGGTGGTGGCCCACGCCTTTAGTCCCAGTACTCAGAAGGCAGAGGCAGGCAGATCTCTGTGAGTTCAAGACCAGCCTGGTCTACAGAATGAGTTCCAGGACATCTATAGCTATACAGAGAAACCCTGTGCTGGCAGGCAGACAGGCAGGCAGCAGGCAGGCAGGCAGGCAGACAGACCGACAGACAGACAGACAGGCTGGCAGGCAGGCAGGCTGTTGGAGTGAAGTGGAGGGGAAGAGCTGGGACCCACCATCCTTTGAAGGACAGCCCTCTTGACTTAAGGTCCTCCCATTAGGCCTTGAATCTCAAGGGTTTTCCCACCTCTCAACAGCATGTCACAGAGAGGGACCAAACCTTTAATGGGCCTTTGGGGACATTCAAGATCCAAACCACAGTGCACATTAAAGAAAAGGTAAATAAGGTCGTACTTAATAACCCAACTTAATGTAACAAGGATATAATAATCTAGGCACACAAGCAGTGCACACAGATGACCAACAATGCAGGGCACACACATATTCTATGTTGGACATGTGTCATACACACGGCCCCGTGACTTCCCAGGCACTCCGCAACCCTGTGTCATCTGTGGCTACCACCTTGGATCTAGGCTGAGCCTTCCATCATTCTGGCTAGTTAGTGCTACCTCACCTTGAGGCCTGTAGAGGGTGGCGGTGTATCTACCAGGGACCTTGTGCTTCCCCAGAGAGGCCTTGTACTACAGAAGGGGCATCGTGGTGACGCACTTGGCGGTAACGGGCATGTTAGCAAGAAAGCACAGGAAGTTTCCATGGCTTTGGCAATTTGATCTAGGAAAATTGGTCTCTCCCATTTGGCTGACAGAAATCTGTTTATCCTCCAGACAGTAAAACGGCTTTTTCTTCTCAGTGGTGAACTTTCCTCTGCTTCTCAAACATCCAACTTAGAAATGTTCCGAGGCAACACACACTGCGTTTAACCAGGGCAGAGGAAGCTTGTGGGGCCTGCCCGCTAATCAAAGACCCCGTTGTGCTGGAGTTCTCCCATAGGTTAGCATTCCAGGCTTAAGCTGATTTGAACTGCTTGTCATGGACCCCACCTCTCTCTCCTCACCCCCTTCACCTTTTTCACAGAGGGAGGTCCTTAGGTTTCTGGCTGGGTGGAGAGCCCCCCACCCCCACCCCCACCCCCAGATGCCCTGCTCCTGAGCCGGCTCACCTGGTCCACCACACAGCACTAGAGTCCTGAAGCTGAGGCTGATGCTGAAGGTCAGGGCTGCCTGCTGACTCAGTGCAGTAAGGCTACACTCAGAACAGGAGCTTCCAGTTCCCAGGGCGAGGTTCCTGCACCTAGGAACAGCTTGGGTTGCTGGGCTGGCTTCTCCTGCTGAGTCCCTGCCCCGGGGCAAGGTGGCCTCTTACCCAGAGCTTTGGCTCCTTTTTCCTGGCTTGGCCTGATGTGGCGATTAAAAAACAAAAAAAAAGAAAAGAAAACTTTTCCCACTATGTAATAGAATCCCTGTTTTCAAAATCCCAGAAGCATAGTTTGTGCATGGAGACTCCTGCCCATCCCTCTTGCCACTGTCCCCAGGGTCTCCCTGTTGCAAGCACCCTTGGGTGCTCCATACAGTGTATGTTTGTGAGCATGCACAGGAACTGAATACTTTTGTCACCTTTTCAATGCAGATAGCAGCATCCATCTGCTTGCAATCTTCTGATAGACTTTTAATAACTTTTAAAATTGTATTCAAGCACACATGTACAATTTCACCACCTTTCAGCACCCAGGTCTACGGCATTGGGAATATACGTATATGGAGAGATCTTCGCCACCAGCCATCCCCAGGGCTCTTTCTGATCGTCCTCAAATAGAAGTTCAACCCCGTTGAACACTAAACTTTTCTTCTGTTCCCAGCCCCTGGCACTCCACTCTTTGTCCCCAAGGGTCTTATGATTCCACAGCTCCGATAAAGAGTCCTGTGGAGCTGTCTATCTTGCAAGAGGCTTCTGGAGATGGGGCACCTGCGGCGGTTCAGACTAAAGCCAGAGTCTTGTGAGTGCCAAGGCAGCACACTGCCATAGAGCTTACATTCCCACACGTTAGTTTCCTGAGACAGCATGTCGTGTAGCCCAGGCTAACCTTGAACTCTCTATGCATCTCAGCTTGTCCTCAAACTCTTGATCCTCCTGCCTCTGCCTCGGGAGTGCTGAAATGTCATCACACCCAGAGTACCGTACCACACCCAGCTGTGACTGGCTCAATTCATTTACAGTAATATTTCCAAGGCTTATCCACATTGCTGCAGATGCCTTAAGTCTGTGGCATGTGAGCTACATTCTGGTTTTGAATATTCTGGAGTTAGTGCTGCAAATGTACTAGAAACTTCTGAATGCTCTATGAGTAGTCTCATACAAATGTCATGTAAGGAAAAAAGAAAAGCTAGTTGGGAATATTAGTGTGAGAGTTTCATGTCTTCCTCAGCTACACAGGCAGTTCCAGGCCAGGCTGGGATACATAAGAGTCTATCTCAAACAACAACAACACTCATACACAAACACACATTGGGCTTGGTGGTGCAGGCCGGCAAGCCCTGCCAGAGCCAGTTCAAGGCCAACCTGGTTTGGCAGGATCCAGGCCAGGCATAGTCCTTGCCTCGCGTATGAAAGATTCTGGTCTCCAATCCTAGCACAGAAAACGAAAGCAAAGTCTATGGGTGAGCAATGTGTGCTGGGACAGAAGGCATGTGCATTTGGGGCCAGGTAAAATGGCCTAAGTTCAACAGTGACAACAGTGATGGAGGAAGCTGAGGCAGGTGACAGAGAGTGGGCCGGGGCCTCCTCACTTGAGCCTTGCACATAACGCCATGCTAAAATGCCTTGCAGGACAGACAGCTCAGCCACTAACTAGGAAGGTCATCAAATAGGTAAGTTAAAACGAGGTCACTTGTCCAAAGTGACCTGGGTCTTTGTAAGAAGAGGATATCTGGAGTGTGCCAGAGGGAAATGCCTGTGGAGCCAGAGGACAGCGCCATCTTCCAGTCAGGGAGAGAGCCTTGAGGGTGAGGCACTTCGTCAGGGCAGGCTCAGGACCCTAGTGCAGATGGTGACGTAAGAAAATTTCTATATTTGAAGGTTGAAATCAGCAGGCCTCAGCGATGTGTCCCCGTAGAGGGTAAAACAGTGACCAGACAGCTGACTCCAATGGCGAGCTTCGCCCTGAGGGACAGGAAGGCCTGAGGCAGACCTGTCCCTGAGGTGCTGGGCTTTCTCAGTAAACAAGAAGCCATTGGATGGGCAGTTTACAGAGGTGTCCGATGTTCAAGGATGAGGACTCGGACTCAGCACTCGGGACCTGCAGTCTCCTTTGCAGCAGCGTGTCGGAACTTGTTTGATTCTATAGGACTGGGGACAAAGCCAGGGCCTGTAGCCACTAAGCAAGTGTTCTCCCACTGAGCCATGCCTTCAGCCCAGCCGCAGACTCCTCAGTCCACAGCACTGCCCAGATGGGTCTCGACCTACCTCTACGCTCAAGCAAATGAGAAACAAGACTCAGGAGATGGCCCCGCATCTGCTTCTGTGTGGGAGAGTCTGCTTCACCGCGTTACTCCTGGTACACACACAGGAAGCAGAGTAAATCGGACAGGCTAGGGCCCTGCTCTCCTGGATGCCATCCACCCCAGGGCAAGACATGGTGGGACTGTGAGCCAGCTGCAGGAAGAGCCAGCCTCTCCAAGTCAAGGACAAGCTTAAATGAACACCATGGGGACAGAGCTTGGTCCCTCTAACCCAGCTATGCAAAGGCTTGTTACTGAGAGGAAAGAGATGGTCTCAGAAAGACCCAAGGTGGAGAGCTCAGGCTGTTCCTTACAGGTCTGCCTCTCCCCACCCCACCCCTGCAAGGCTGGACCCAGGCCACTGTGACACTGGTCGAAGGGGAAGCAGCACCAGGGCTTCAGCTCCAGCAGTCCCACCCCACCCCCCACCTCCCACCCCTACTCCCCATCTCCCACCCCCAGCCCCCAGCCCCCACCTCCCACCCCCACCCCCCTGTGACTTCTCAGAGACTTCCTTAGATGCTGTGCTGTGAGGAGGAGGGGTCAGTCTGTACAGGAAAACTGCTGAGGTCTCTAAAGACTCTGGGGACTTCTGGGGTGTTGATGCCTCAGAGACAACTGCATGGGAGCCCCAATTCCTGGCTGGGCAGGGGGACAGGATCAGACCCCACTGCCGTCATGGAACATGCCCTCTTCCTCAGTGCCTTTTCTGGAGTCCGAGACAGCTCCATCCAGCTTGGGTTCATGTCCTGGGGCCCTGACCAACCCAAACACCCTTGTTTGTGTGGGTGGGCCTTTCTCAGTCAGAGCAGAGCTGTGGAAGGTGGTGGGGATTCAGCAGCCCCCTGATGCAAACCCACACTGCCAAGCTATTCCTCCTTTGTCTCTCCACCTGTCCCGTGAGCACCACACCATGGGCCCCTGAGCCTTAATGGTATCTCCCAGACCTCTGCATGCGAGCACACATGCGTGTGCCACAGCCAAGGACCAGATGACTGCCCTCCTCACCCACCAGGTGTCCTGTCACCTCCACCCCGTACACACCACACACACCTTGGATGGCTAATGCCTTGACCCTGGCCTGGACAAACAACCACACACACAGTCTGTGACATACTGCCACCCAGAGAGACTGGCCAAGATCATCATCCAGGCTGTAGAAGAGAGGTTAAAGGTCAGCCCTCCCCCCCCCCCCCCCCCGTGAAAGGACGAGAGTCTACAGGTTGGTTTTCATTTGGGGTTTGTTTTTTTGTTTGTTTGTTTTGTGTTTTTCTTTTCAAAGACAGCCATGACACCCTCCTCTGGAACATGGTTCTTCCTCTGGAAGCTGGGCAGCAGTTAGAGACTCCCTGATGAACAATACACTTAGCAATCGGTACTTCTGCTGACCTTCTGAAGCCAGACCAGAGAGGATAGCATAGTGCTACCTTGTGCCCTGAGTCTGCCTGGAAGTTTCAGGCTTTCAGGAGGCCAGGGGAGGCCACCTCAAACAGAAGGAGAAGACCTGAGGCCCGGGAAGACGGTCAGTTGGCTCCCACAGCGGTGGGAGTCACTGGAGTCAAGTCCTGTTGTATTTCTGACCCCCACAAAAGATGGTGTATGGAGATGGGGGGGAGCTGGAGGGAGTAACAGAAGCAGGTTAATTTGAGTTATAAGAGCTAGTTGGGGATAAGCCTAAGCTAAAGGCCAAGCTTTCATATATGTTGTTATTTGGGAGATGTCTCATAACATTATGTCTCATAACAGTAGCAAAATTACAGTTATGAAGTAGCAATGAAAATAATGTTATGGCGGTGGTGACTACAACATGAGGAACTGTATTAAAGAGTCTCAGCATTAGGAAGGTTGAGAAGCACTGGTCTACAATATCTCAGCCTGATAAACTGAGGGAGGAGGTTGATCCTGGCTCTTCTCCCAGCACACACACACACACAAAAGCATTCACAGCTGGGCTCAGTGCTAGGCATGTTAGCCCAGCCCTGGAGAGTCAGAGTCAGGAGAACCTGGAGATTTACACCGTAACCCAGCCTGGAGAGTCAGAGTCAGGAGAACCTGGAGATTTACACCCTAACCCAGCCTGGACAGTCAGAGTCAGGAGAACCTGGAGATTTACACCCTAACCCAGCCTGGAGAGTCAGAGTCAGGAGACACAGCCTGGGCTGCATGGCCAGGTCACATCATTGTGAGGCAGAGGACCTGTCTAGTGTGTACAGGACCACACAAAAACACGACAAGAAATCCTAATGCTCAAAACAACACCAAAACTATAAAGCTTCCTGAAGAACAGAGAATGTTGGTGCAAGTAGTGAGAGGACACAAAAAACATAAAAGATAAAATTTGGAAATCAGGCCGGGTGTTGGTGGCTCACGCCTTTAATCCTAGCACTCGGGAGGCAGAGGCAGAGGCAGGCAGATCTCTGTGAGTTCCAGGCCAGGCTGGTCTACAAGAGCTAGTTCTAGGACAGGCTCCAAAGCCACAGAGAAACCCTGTCTCAAAAAAACAAAAATAAAAAATTAGAGTTTATGTAAGATAGATGATGGTGGCACATGCCTTTAATCCCAGCACTTGGGAGGCAGAGGCAGTTGGATCTAAGTGAGTTCGAGGCCAGCCTGGTCTACAGAGCAAGTTCCAGGACAGCTAGTGCTGTTACAGAAAGAAACCCTGTCTGAAAAATGAAAAAAGAATAGAGCTTATCAAACTATGTATATCTGTTTCTCAAAAGACATCATTTTTAGATTGAAAACATCTGACAGTGAGCTTCTTTTATTTTCAGCTTTTTTCTAATATAGTTATTTTTATTTTATGTGTGTGTTGCCTGCATGTGTGTCTGCATGCATGGTGTGTGCAGAGGCCAGAAGAGGACACTGCATCCTCTAGAACTTGAGTCACACATGGTTGT